CTACACTTTTAACCCTTTTCCTGGGGGGGGGTTTCCCTTGTATTTTTGGCCCAGTTCGCGGTTCTTTTCTCCATTTGTCCTTTAGGAAAGGGGGACTGTTCCTTTTTCCCCCTTTGCTGGTGGAGGGGGAACACCCTTTTTGGTTTTCTTTTTCGTTTTTTAAAAAAACCCTTTGAACCCCCAACAACCCCCAATTTTTATCCTCCTGGGTTGGGAGAAAAAGCCCTTGGCCAGATTCCCCCAAAAAAGGAGCCCCCCCCCCCGGCCCTTTGGTTAGCGGACCCTCCCCCCCCCCCCAAAAAAAAGGAAGACAAAATACGCAACACACAAAAACAGGGCGACGTGACACAAGGCCCTCCTGACAAGTCACGACGGTACTGTACCAGTGATTGTGATCAGCTCGAAGCGGCAGGAGAACAGAAAGAAGCGAGCGAGCTCGGTACCTTCCAGCTTCGACCCGTCTCACCCATTCCGTGTGCGAGGGTGGCGGGTATCTAGGTCGTCTAGAAACAACGACCCCGTCCACAAATACACCCAAAACGCAACAAGCAAGTCGTATCTCTGCCCGGACCCCCTAACCCCGCCCCCCCCCAAAGGGCGTTTCGCTTCGCCTGTGTCATTCGTAACTGTTGTCTGTCTCCGTTAACTAAACACGCCATTACACGGTCGCACTAACTGCTGCTTCAACCACACACGCACGCCCTTTCCCTTCCTCCCCTCTCTTCCTTCCGGCGAGCTCGCCTTGCCGTGGAACCCATGTCATGCGCATTGGTGTGCATGCTACAGAAACCCAACCCCATATTAACAACGCCATGCTCTTCTGCTGTACACTGCGCCAGACACACATTTGCAAAAAGAGCAAAAGAGAACAAACTATAAACACTACGAACGCATCCCTTACCCTAGATACAAAGCAGTATATACACGTGGTACGACCGTAACCGTAGCGACCGACATAGACACGTGCGCCGACGACGGCGTGTACCCTTGTCGCAATCGCCCCACATAAACAAGCCTCCGTACAAGTTACACAGTTGCACAACCTAACGGCCATTCCGCCTCGCTTCAACTCTTCTCCCCCCCACCCCCCCCCCCATTGCCCTAAACAAACAGTACGTAACGTCGAGGAGGCGTTCCTTCTCTTCCATCGCCCTTTTTCTACACGATCGCCGGTCATCGCAGCAGCAGCAGCAGGAAACCGAGAAGGTCGCCAATCCGACAGGCAGGGATTAAACCCCCGTCAAGCATGACTCTCAACCTCCAACAGCAACAGCCTCAAAGAGCCCCGGCTGCTCCCGCCCCACCCGCCTGTGGAGGTGCCGATGACGGACACTCGTCCGCCACCCCCGCCCCCGACTGACTGCTATCCTCCATATTTACATCCCAGCGAAGTACAGCCCTTAAAATCACTGCCTGTCTGTTTTTCTCTTCTCTGTCGGTCCGTCCGCACGCTTTCCTCCCCCCTGATTTTTTTTCTGTTTCCTCCTTCTCCCCCCCCCCCCCCCGGGCCCTTGGTGTCTTAAATTTTCCTTGGTCCCCCCAACCCCCCCCTCCGTACACGGGGCCTTCTTGCCCCCCCCAAAAAACCTTTGGTCCATTTATCCCCCCATTTTGTCCCTCCCCCCCCCGATTATTTACTCCCGAATGTCAAAAGGGGACGAAACCCTTAACCCTTTCTTTCTCTTTCTCCCCCCCGAAAAGAA